TCGGGCAATCGTCACAACGAATGCAAGGCTATGACAGGCAACAGACAAAAGAAAACATGGCTCAATGATCCTCAGCTGACCCCTGCAAACCCCGATTAAGTGCACGTCGATTCCAAGGTTGTGCGCTGGGAGTCAAAGCCTTTGCAGCCCGCGCGGCTTCGATACCGAAGTGTCTTCGTAATGTCGACACCCGATTGCGCGAACCCGAAGCACGTCGTGGAAGAAGCATGATAGCGAGTAGACCACGCTTATCACGATGTTGGCTTTTATTGGAGGGCAACAAAGATCGACGGCACACAGGAAATTGACCCGGCCACTGACACCATCGTCAACCTCAACAAACCCCTTTTAGGGCAATTCACAAGGTGAGCACTTTTGCGCACTACCAGGCCGCCATCATAGAAGATTGACAGGGAAGTCGAAGTTGTTGAAAATAACGGTCAGATTTACGCGGAGCCTCAAAGTTTGCCGGGATCCGAATTTGGCGGGTGCTTGAGTAGCCAAGAACATGTTTTCGCGCGGTCGGTGCCAGCGGAAGGGAGCGCCAGCGGGTGCACATAAGGAACGCTATGTCTGGGCTCACACAAGGAGGGCTCTACCGCTCTCAAGTTTTCGTTGTACGATAGCACGCGCACAACAAAGGGTAATGGTGGATGCACCACCACACAATTCGGCGCAGCAAAACCCCAAACTGACCCATAAAAACACCGATTCTCACCACCGTGTAATCAGATGTACTAGCACAAGAGGTCGTCGAACTCGGACATGTACACTGCACACACACAAATGGATAACAATTGCTTTCATTGGAGGGCAACGAAGATCGACGGCACACAGGAAATGGACCCGACCACTGACACCGTCGTCAACCCCAACAAACCCTTTTTAGGGTAATTTCTAAGGCGAGCAGTTTTGCGCACTACCAGGCCGCCGGCATTGAAGACGGACGGGGAAGTCGAAGCTGTTGAAAATAACGGTCCGATTTATGCGGAGCCTCAAAGTCCGCCGGGATCCGAACTTGGCGGATGCTGGAGTAGCCTGGTACCTGTTTTCGCGCGGCTCGTGCTTCTGGAAGGGAGCGCCGGCGGGTGCACATAAGGTACGCTATATCTGAGCGCACACAAGGAAGGCTCTGCCGCTCTCAAGTTTTTGTTGTACGACAGCAAACGCAGAACAAAGAGTAATGGTGGATGCACCACCACATAATTCGGCGCAGCTCGGCCCCAAACTGACCCCTATAAACACCGATTCTCACCACTGTCTAATCAGATGTACTAGCACAAGAGGTCGAACTCGGACATGTACTGCGCGGACACGAAAAATTTAGAATTGCTTTTATTGGAGGGCAACGAAGATCGACGGCACACAGGAAATGGACTCGGCCACTGCCACCGTCGTTAACCCCAAAAAACCCCTTTAAGGGCAATTTCTGAGGCGAGCAGTTTTGCTCACCACAAGGCCGCCGGCATTGAAGACGGACGAGGAAGTCGAAGCTGTTGAAAATAACGGTCAGATTTACGCGGAGCCTTAAAGTCCGTCGGGATCCGAACATGGCGGATGCTGGAGTAGCCTGGTACCTGTTTTCGCGCGGCCGGTGCCAGTGGAAGGGAGCGCCAGCGGGTGCACATAAGGAACGCTATGTCTAGGCGCACAGAAGGAAGGCTCTGCCGCTCTCAAGTTTTCGTTGTACGATAGCACGCGCAGAACAAAGGGTAATGGTGGATGCACCACCACTCAATTCGGCAGCGCGACCCCAAACCGACCCCTATAAATACAGATAATCAACACAGTCTAATCAGATGTCCTAGCACAAGAGGTTGTCGAACTCGGACATGTACACAACGCAAACACAGTCTTATTAGAACGGCTTTTATTGGAGGGCAACAATGATCGACGGGACACAGGAAATAGACCCGGCAACCGACACCGTCGTCAACCCCAATAAACCCCATTCAGGGTCATTCCCAAGGCGAGCATTTTTGCGCACTACCTGGCCGCCGGCAATGAACACGGACGGGAAAGTCGAAGCTGTTGAAAACAACGGTCATATTTACGCGAAGCCGCAAAGTTCGTCGGGATCCGAATTTGGCGGGTGCTGGAGTAGCCTGGTACCTGTTTTCGCGCGGCCGGTGCAAGTGGAAGGGAGAGCCAGCGGGTGCACACGAGGAACGCTATGTCTGGGCGCACAGAAGGAAGGCTCTGCCGCTCTCAAGTTTTCGTTGTACGATAGCACACGCAGAACAAAGGGTAATGGTGGATGCACCACCACTCAATTCGGCAGCGCGACCCCAAACCGACCCCTATAAACACAGATAATCAACACAGTCAAATCAGATGTCCTAGCACAAGCGGTTGTCGAACTCGGACATGTACACAATGCAAACACAGTCTTATTAGAACGACTTTTATTGGAGGGCAACGATGATCGACGGCACACAGGAAATAGACCCGGCAACCGACACCGTCGTCAACCCCAATAAACCCCATTCAGGGTCATTCACAAGGCGAGCATTTTTGTGCACTATCAGGCCGCCGACAATGAACACGGACAGGGAAGTCGAAGCTGTTGAAAACAACGGTCAGATTTACGCAAAGTTCGTCGGGATCCGAATTTGGCGGGTGCTAGAGTAGCCAGGAACCTGTTTTCGCGTGGCCGGTGCCAGCGGAACGGAGAGCCAGCGGGTGCACACGAGGAACGCTATGTCTGGGCGCACAGAAGGAAGGCTCTGCCGCTCTCATGTTTTCGTTGTACGATAGCACGCGCAGAACAAAGGGTAATGGTGGATGCACCACCACACAATTCGGCGCAGCGCGACCCCAAACTGACCCCTATAAACATTGATTCTCAGTGCGGATTTCTGTGTCATGAAATTTGTTTGAACCAGCGCGGGAATATGGCCGCTTGCAAGTCCGGAGTTCGACGAACGCCGAGGTCTGGGTAACGCGAGCAATTTTGCGCACCCAGAGGCCTCTGGTAATCTGATGACACACGATAGTCGAGGCCGTCGCAACGGGCGGTTGAATTTTGTCGTGGGACCTCAAATCCCGCCGGGATCCGAACTTGGCATTTGCTGGACTGGCAAGGAACCGGTTTGTGCGGGGGATGTCGGGTATCTCGAGGATGGGTGTTGAAGTGCACACATGAGCTTGGTGGAAATGACCGTCGGAAATGGCCGGTTAGATTTTAGTCGAACCACGAAGTCCGCGGAGATCCGAACTTGGCGGCCGCCGGAATAGAGTGGAACGGGTTTCTTAGCGGCAAGTCGCATATTGGACGGGCTGATTAGAAGGAAACGCGACGATCCACATATGAGTTTCAGTGGACAGAACCAAAACCCGTCGTTAAGCACTCAATTAGTCTCGGAGACAAGGCGAGCTCGCACTCGGGCAATGGAAGGTTCCACAGGCAGGTTCATGGTGGTCAATGGAATTCCACAAGATCCGAACTTGCCCTCGGTTCCACTGAGGGACCACGAACGGGTGCCTACAACGAAGTCTGCCTGGATCCGAACTTGACATCTGTTGCTGCGTGTCAACCGGGAGCATGACACACTTGGTTTTTGCTAGGGTCCCAGTGACAGGACTGTTTTTTTGGCGGGAAAGTCACCCAAAGAAGAGTCATGTACCAAGGATTCCGTAAAGATCCTTGTAAACCGTAAGCGTGTGATTTCAGGCCGTGGGCGGTGAGGGAGCGCAGGGGACTCCCCAAAAAAGGAGGGGAGATTGTCAAGAGGACTTGGTAGGCTCTTCGAAGAAACAGAAGACCAGGACCCCGAAGACTACGGGAGACAAACGGAAGTGAAGGGGTGTGGAAGAGGACCACCTGGGTGGCAAATGTCCGGCTTCAAAACAGAAACAGCCTGCGTCAGAACCTTCAACGACAAGGCCGGCCATCGACATAGACGCTGGGTACTTCCTGGAGTACAAAGACGGCGTCAGGACAAGGCGGGAGTTTGAGATTAGCCCGGCTCAGATCGTCGACCTCGGGGAGTGGGAGGATCTTTACAACCAGCGGTCGCTGGATCCTGTGCTCGTGGGAACGATAAAAGATGCAATGAAGTATGCGTTCGAAAATAAAGAGCACACGTACGAGTTGCCGATCTTCAAGCGCGCACCACTGGGGCTTCAAAAACCAACTCCCGGGACTAAGGCTCAACGGCTGAAGCCAAAGGAGTGGAAAAACGAGCTGGCGGGAGAATACCACTACTACACGGTGTGCGGGCAGCATAACGCGGCTGCAGCCCGATCGCTGCTCGGGAGCGAGGTGTCCAAGAAGTACAATTTCGAGTGGTGGCCGGCGCGAATGCTTTACTTTCCGAACGACGACTTTGAAGGGTATTTTCTTGTTAGTTCACAGGACAACAAGAAGGACCTGAAGGCGCCTCCCTGACAGTTGAAGCTGTCTATGAAAGACATTCGGTGGCAKTGGAAGCATGACGGCTGCYCGAGAGCTGTGATGGGGAACCCTAGCGGGAAACAAGATTAGGTCCGGACTTGGCGTAAGTTTTGTACAACGGCGCTCCATAAGGCGCCTCACAACAGCTTGTGGATTCTCGCRGATCAAAAGGAAGAGGAGKCCCTTAAGAAGCAAAATGCTGCCCTGCGTTCTTTTTTCCCTCTCGCTATGGCCGGAGAAAATGTCTGGAAACTGGCCGTGGAATTTTTTGAAAAATGGGAGACGGGTAGATTGTTGAGCTACGACGAAGCGAAGTGGATCGTGAAAAAGAAGAAGGTCAAAAACGTTAAGCCTAGGGTCGCCTACATCCACAACGACAAGTAGGGCAGAACTGAGCTGGTGTACAACGTCCCCGTGGACCCACCGAATAAGAAAGGCAAAAAGGAGAAAGAGGAGGGCGATTGGTTCGTGCAAGTGCCTGACCCGGATGCGCATTGTTGGAAAGCAATTGAATCACTCACGGACAATGAAAAGYGTCGCRTTCTWAAGAAGGTGCTTRCTTGCGAGGTCGTTTGGGTCCAGGCCGGCTCCCCRTCGTTGGCGAAGTTGGGGAAGCTGAGCGTGMAGGACATGGTGCAACTGGTTAAGTGTGACCGCGTGCTGRTCCGGTTGTGGAATTACTACCAATTCAAGCACGAGAAGAGGTCAGACGAGGATTGGATCCAAAGGTACCCTTTCCTGAAATCAAGGTCTGCAGTGTTCCGGAAGTTTGAAAGTCAGGGATTGGATGACGAGTTGTGGGATAACAGCGGGAAACACGTTTCGGACTCGGCGTTGTTCAAGGACTGTCCGCCGTACATGGGTTGCSACCTGGACAACTCGATTGAGGTGACGGAGAAGTTGGCGGGACACAAGAAGTTKTCCGTCGACTGGAGAAACAAGGTTCTYTCCGTATTGAATGGTAGCAGACTAAAGAGCCGGGAGGTCGCCCTTGTCGAAGACATTGTTCACATTAAATGGAAAGACACGGGGGACGTGACATCCATCACGTCGTTCGCTAACGACCCTTTGGAGGTGGACATGAGGGGCGCAGAGTTGAAGGAAGCAGTGACTGCCACAAAGAGCCACACGTTCGTCCTCGATCTGTGCGAGCCGGTTGACCTCAAACTGTGGAAGGCCCAAGCGTGCGAGACTTTGGATTCCTATCTTCAGACGTGGTGTCCGTCACATTGGACTCTCGTTATTTTCGTGCCGCGGCAGCACAACCTCACGTTTCTCGCCAGCATCAAAAAAAAAAATTTCCAAAATTAAATAATCATTCTATAGTAAAATTACATTCTAAATTTTAAATTTTCATTCCTTCTTAAAAAATGTCATTCCAGTTTTAATTTTTTTTGCCTTACTTGAAAACATTCAATCCACGAATGGGCTATCCCTTCTTATTTGAACTACTTGCTAGAGGTGGAATGAAAGTCTGGATGAGTTTATGAAATATTTTAATGGGACTGTCACTCTATGTAAGGATTTTCAGTCATAAATAGGTTAATCCAATCTAAATTATAAGGTATTTGTTATAATGAAATGAAAGTTTAATTAAGGCATTCTATAAACTCATCTAGACTCTCATTCCATCTTGAACAAACAGATGTAGTTGGAAGGGAAAACTTATATTTAGATGGGAACTTATCAAATAAAACTAAAAATTTTAGAATTGGATGAACATTGGAATAATAATTCATTAATATGAAGGAACTTTTTTTAATGGAATGTTTTTTCAACTTCCATTTCTCATGGGAATTTTTCTGTTGATGCACCATCTTTCTTTCGTCAAGCTGTTGGAAGGGAAGTGGGTGAGGAGAGTTCAGCAAAAGAAAAGCTTCCCCGTTGGGAACAATTTGTACACGGAGGAAGACCGCATGTACATCGTCTTCAAGGGTGACGATCTGCGCGCCTACACGTCCGTGGTCTATGAGGGAAACCTGCCCAGGGGTGCCGCTGCTGCGGTGCGATTGCCTCAGAGGGTCACCCAGACGGATGTGTCCGAGATTCTCTTTGTGCCTTGGCAGCCTTGCGATTGGTCGCTGGTGACGCCGGAACGACAGGGCAGTGTCTACGGGGATATGAAACGCAATCCGACACAATTCGTCGGTCTTCTTGATTTCCTTGGCAACAAGGGAGAGGGTGTCGTGTTCCTTGGGAAACCGCACGCGCGAAGCGTCTGGCATCTTCTGAAGGCCGGTCGGCACGTTGTCGCGATGGAAGGGAATGCCGAGCTCTCGCAATTCCCGATGCAGGTGGTGAAAAGCGAGGTCAATTCAGGTGGGCAAAATTGTGAGTTTATGGTCGTGAAGCCAACACGGGATAAGGTGTGGAGCATTAAGACGGATATGATGTTCAAGTTGAGCGAGAGGAAGATGAACAAGATATACGATTTCTTGTTCCTTCAAACGTGGTCGAGGAAGGACTCTGACGCCGAGTACGTCCGCCGGAAGGACCACATGTTCGCACTGCTCGACAACTACCACTTCGCCTCCCGCATGAACGCAAAGACGTTTCTCGATAGGCTGCAGTCGCTGTACTTCGTGGAGTCCGAGGAGCAGTTGAAGTTAGCCAGTTACGCTTTTCTGATCTCCACTGATGACGAGGAAGGCAAAGGTGTGGAGTTTGTCGCCAACGCGAAGGAGGAGGAGAGCGACACAGAGAGCATTGACCTGCAGTACGACCCATCTCCGGCGGACCACGGCAAAGGGTCGTTGTCGGCCGGTCCGTCACCGAGCGCTGCAGCCCTCGTATCACCGTCGGCCAAACCGTCGCCAGGCACCACGACGATGAAGTTGCTGGAGGGACTCAGAGCTCTGGCCGTCCCCCCGCCCGCTTTGCGCCCTGGGTCCGACATCCCGCCCGATTATCCATCTTGGCAGGATGACCACATCCACTTCCTGCTAGAACCATAACGTCATTCGCCTGAGCTGGAATGGGGCCATGACATGGTGTGGCATCCCGGAGTCATCCAGAGAGTGGGTCATGGCCGTCGCAATCCCGGGCGCGGGATGGGCGTCATTCCCGCGCGAGTCGAAGTCCAACTTCCTGCACCTCGTAAGGGTTCCAGTCCTCCAGAAAGTGACGGCTTAGAATGACACCATTGGGCCCGGCGACCTGTCCCTCATTTCCACAGCCGATCGAATGTTCCACGAGCTTCAGGACAAGTGCTGGTTGGAATTGACAGAGGACTACTACGACCTCGACACGCGTCCGTCGAAGGGCACGGTGGACTGGAAAGTGCCCACTCCCAGTGGCCCGGACGGTAGTTCGGGGGGGGGGGCGCACCTGGAAGNCCTGGAAGTGGAGGGGATGGGGGTGGTGGCGCGGGGGGTGGCAAAGGAATCCCGCCTGGTGGGGAGAGGGGGTCTCATGACCGCAACACGACACCGGAGGCAGCCGCGGGGTGGCGGGTTTCGCCGTCGACCGGCCTCCGTCGACAGGCACCTGGCCGGAGCGTACGACACAGTCCACCGACCTCCCTACTTCGTCCGTGGGCTTAGCGAGGGACATGTTGGCAGCTTTGCTTGCTCTGGGCCGTCGCTTCGGCGGAAAGTTGAAGTCTGCCGGTATCCGAACTACGTCCGCTGAGGAGCCGCCGGATCGGTCTGGAATGCAATGTCGCACGGGGTCGGGGGAGCCAAGCAAGGATCCTGAAATTGGCAGTGTTGCGGCGCGGGACGGAAACGTGGGAAAGGTGTCGCCTGAGCACGGGCGACGGCCGCAAGGATTGCAGCATGAGGCTGCAGGTACAGGGTCCGGCGACACGGAGACGACGAAGTCCGCCGAGATCTGAACTTCTTCGGGCGGGGGGTGTCGGCCAGGGATTGTCGTGCCGTTGAGAGGGGCAGCGTGCACGGAAACGGAAGGGCGGTCTTTGGGATTCAACACGGATACCGCGGAAGGGGATGAGTTTCGTGGAAGGGAAGTAGGGGAGAAAATGGAGGAACGGAGGGGAGCGCAAGAAGGGGAGGAAGAAGGGGAGGAAGAAGGGGAAGAAGAGGAGGAAGGGGAGGAAGCGGGAGAAACGGAGGTACTTGAGTTGCTTGAAGGAAGGGAGAGTGCCGGATCTGGAGACGACGAGGTAGAGCACAGTGAGGAAGATGCCGGATCTGGAGAGTCGTCTGACGAGTTCGGACAACTGTACGGAGAGCATCACGAGGATGATGTTGACGACGATGCCACGGGAATAGAGATGGAGACACAGGTCGTTAGCAGCCTTTCCGCACAGCGTGAAGATTATGCGGTCCGACCACTGACGTCTGCTGTTGACTTCCAACACCGCTTCGACGAGGCTTCCGTCGCTATCAGCCCGTCTAAAACAAATCGGCGTATAAGCATCGACGAAGTTATCGACGGTATCCTCGGCGACCACAACGTGTCTGCCCGTCCGTCCACAACGCCTGACGTCGACGAAACTCGCAACGTCACGTCTCCCGTTGCAACTGCCCTCGCTTCGTCGCCGCCGAAGACCCTGGTCCTGCCGGCCACCCTTGCCGCCGAAGAGGAAGGCGAGGTCGGGGGACGACAGCATGTCACGTCCCCAAAAAAATTTGAGGGTCGGCGCTCAAGCTCTCGACGTGCTCGCTTTGCCCGCGCCAAATTCCCCATCGAAGGACCGGAGAGATAAACAGACTGGTAAGCCGTGAAGAACACCACACTACCCGCGCGTCCAGATGTCGTCGGATTACAGTCCGCGCTGTACACACGACGACTGTCCACACTGTCTGTCGATACGGGAAGTTCCGGATGCCGCCATACTACAGCCACCGGCCCTTCCTAATACATCTCGTCGGCTTATCTGTCACTCGGCCAGATTGCTGGTCGAGGGCGGCGAAAAGTTCGTCGACAAACTTGCACTCCATCTAAGGAAGGATCTGCCCTGGCTGAGGAAGTGGCCAAGGGGCTAAGAAAGTGRCCAAGTGRATGGAYTGACRGTTTTCCCATCTCGGGAATAGTGTCRGTTGTAGTCCGCCGGGATCCGAACTTCCTTTGTCGATGCGGATGTGGTCGGTCTCAGTGGGGCTGGTGTATTGAAAAGTACGCCGCAGTCCGAACTTCGGGAATTGCTGGCCTTTGGCTTCTGTGAGTTGTGCTGGTTTTCCTTTGCGAAGTGCGGGGGTGTTAAGCTAGAATGTTGCAGTCACAACGGCACGTGGGTGCATATGACAACGCGAAATAATGGTCCTATGGTCGGAGAGGTCCTGCTTGACTGTTGCGTCTGTGCGATTGTATGGTTCTCATTTTTCGTTCTGTCTTTCTTGTGTTGTACAGGGGTGGGGTCGTCTCGAAGAAGGAGGTCTTCCAAATATCCTGAGCACATATTCTAGAAAGTCTCCGGGTTGACTACAAAACACAAGGATATGTTAAAGGCATCAGGGGTTGATGTCGAGATCGGGAGGGAGTAGAACGTTGCCATTAAGGAATGTCTTTCCCTTCTTGCCCCAGAGAAAGGGACATATCCACGATCTGTGAGTAGGGGTCAGGCCATGTATGAGAAGTACTTAGCAACGCCTCATGCTCTAGGGGACAATGCCTAGAACTCCGTTTCTCACTACCCCACGTGTCCTTTGCTCGATGTTGTGCAGTGCGGGCCGCAAGTGCAGCACGCAAGAAAAGTTTCACTGCAGCGATTGAGCCGCTGAGCTTGCGGGTTTAGGACGACATTTTACGAGGCTCGGTGCCCTCTCACACTGTTCTCTCTATACTGGGCGATGGTCAATTTCGGACTGCCACAAAATATTTCCTCACCCTACTGAATGTCGACAGCGGGGTGAATGATGAGGTGGTCAATTTCTATATGGCATTGTTAGGGTCAACCGCATGTGGGTCACGTGACATCCTGTCGGGCCTTCAAGCCTTCAGCTTTTATTCGTTCTTCTTCAGTAAACTGCGACTTCAAGGACACGGTGGGGTGCGGAGGTGGGCTAGAAACGTAGATTTGCTTCGTTACGATATTGTTTTCGTTCCTGTCCACAAAGATGATGATCACTGGATCCTCCTTTCCCTCAACATGAAAGACGATATTCTCAAAATGTTTTACTCTTTTCCTCGCATTGTATCTGATTCTAGTTTTTACCTTTCTGTTTTCGGGTTGATTGTGCAGTATTTGGAACGTCAAACATCATATAGGCGGTCACGTAGGAGTTGGAAGTCGATGGTGGGAAATATTGTGGTGGATGGAGTTCCGAGACAAGTGAATGGAGCAAGTTGTGGGATGTTCATGTTGATGTATGCGACGTTGTTGCAACGTGCAGATCGACCGCCTTTCCAGTTCTCTTATAAAGATATTCCGCTTCTTAGATGACAATTAGCATCATATATCTTAGAACATCGTTGTCTTTGATGGATTTGATTGACTTGAAAACTCTTTTCTTAAGGTGTTCCATTCGTTGTTCATTGAATTTTGTAAATCGAGACATTATCTTATAAAGATATTCCGCTTCTTTGACGACAGTTAGCATCATCTGTTTTAGGACATCGTTGTCTTTGATGGATTTGATTGACTTGAAAACTTTTTTCTTAAGGTGTTTCATTCGTTGTTCATTGAATTTTGTAAATCGAGACATTATTCAACTGTCCTTCTGCCAAAGACATTGTTTTCTTTTGTCTTTCCGAGTTTGGGTTGTCTACGGCAAGCTCATTGCATGTCCTGCGTCATGTATGGGCTTTGTGATCTCTGTCACGTCCCAGTCGTTTCTCATGCAGCGGAACATGTCATACGTTATGTTCCAAGTTTCGAATTTTGTTCAACTACAAGTATTTTGTTCCATGTTTCAAATTATGTCCAACTGGAAGCATAAACATGATTGTGAAACTAATTGGTGGATGCATGAGAAATGTCATCCTATGTGAAATTGGTCAGTGGATGCCCAAACCTTCTTTGCATTACCATTTAAAGTGCGGATATTCATCGTGAATTAACACAATTTTAAGTTGTACACTTGTGCATTGAATATCGAAATAAAGTGGTTATTGAAATACACCTTGCCCATCATAAATGTAACTAATTATGTTCCTCAGTGCCCTCATGTCGGGCGAGATGATGACCGTGCCTTTATGCGGAAGTCAGAATCTCTTCAACATCCAAACAAAGAGACGATGGGTGTGCTTCCATAACTTAGGGATAACCTGGTAAACGAAAATTTGATGTGTTCACCAACAACGGTTCGATCATGACATCTTGCTCATCACATACGTAAGCTTTTAGTTTAACAAGTTTGGATCTCGACACACTCCCGCCCATTGTCAGGATCACAAGTCTTCTAAACAAGTCCGGATCTCATCATACATCTAAACAACCGTCTTCAGCAAGACGATGAACCTGCATGTGTAACATTGGGATAACCGAAAGAATTATACTGAGTCTCTCCAATTCAATTTGATTACATTGCTGATTTTGCTTACAAAGTTTAACAACTATGGATGGGCCTATGTGGAAACACTGCAGTAAAAAATGAATTCGTAAGAAAGAGGACAGTGTCACAATATAATATATTTCATCACATTTATGAAATTGAAGTTTGACAAGTAAGGATCCCGGCACACTTCCGCAAATGGTTCCCTATGTGGCGTGCCAATCGTTATTCGTTTATGAAGTTTGAGTAGTATGGATCCCATCACACTTCCCCGCAGGATCACCGGCGCGTTCTTGAAGTTCAACAAGTGAGGATCCCAACACACTTTCGCACAGGATGGGCATCCTACTTTGCTTAGGCTGCAAAAAACTTTGAATGCTTTTGAATCTATGGTATTAATTCTACTCTCTACTTGTAGTATGCTTTTCATGATCTCATCTTATGATTTGATTGCCATGTATTTAGCCATCGAACTTCAAAGTGAATTTGTTGAAAAAAGGACACAATATAATGTCCTATTTTAACGAATAACATGTTATACTCACACTGTGCCCTCAAACTTGCAAAACCACAAAATGAGCGGCCAGATCGAGTCCTTGTAAGGGAAGGACTAGATCTGGCCACTAATTTTGAGATTTTGTGATTTTGAGGGCCTAGGTTGAATGTGCCCTTATACGGAGTATGTATATATATAATGTTTTTGGACATTTAATTTCGTATGTATTTAATGGCCACTACCTTCTCTGACTCGTATGTCGACTGCAGGGTGGGTCCCGGTCGTTTCAGAGGTCGGTCCCTTCAGATGAGAAATATCAGCGGCCTCCCCCTGGCCATTTTTTTGGATGAGGTTATTTTCCTAAATGGGACTACATCTGCGAAAGGTAGTGGTTGTTTAGCCTTTTGTCCCTAAGCTTGCAAAAGTTTTCTTCAAGTATTTGTTGTATTCCTTTTTTTTCCGGAAACTTTTGGATTGTTTTTTATGCCTTCTATGCCTAAAATGGGGTGCTGAGGATAGAGTTCTACCGAGTTGAACGGTGAACACAACATTGTCAAGTATTTTGTGTGTACAAGGATTTGAACCGCCAGTACCTTTGTCAGCTATGGGTGCCGACCCTAAAATGGACCTGTGCAGCAAAAAAAAACGAATCGGCGTGGGCGTCTTTTTGGCTTGCGCCGCCAACGGTTTCCGGCCGGTAGTGTCGGAACCCCCCTGCCTCCGGTGTTAGCTGTCGGGCATCTGTTTTTCAAGCGGGGAAAGATACTGGTGGTTCTAAAACTTGCCTGCGCACAAGACGTACATTAGATGATTAGARAGAAGGGTGGGACTTCTAGGGTTATGAAGGGCCCAAAGTGGCGACACCGATTCAATACCAGGACAGRGTTAGGGCTAATGTGAACCGATTTTTGGCTGGGTTGGCCTGTGTCGTGCCAATAAAGTCATGATTCCTTAGAATAGGGAGTTCGCATGAATACGGCGTTTGTGTTCTTTTGTTGTAGTGAATGTGTTTACCAGGGTGATTGACAACTTTTACTAGAAAACAAGCTTTACGACTTTTGGAGTTTTTTACTTACGCAAATAGTTGGACCTACTCCGCATGGAAGGCAACATTGAGGGGATCCCTCGTGAAAAAAAGGCAAATAGTTGGCAAATAATTGGACCTACTCCGCATGGAAGGCAACATTGAGGGGATCCCTCGTGAAAAAAAATAGTGGTAACTTGAGTAGAGTCACTAAAACGAGTTAAAATCTGAGTGGGGATCCGGGCTGCCTGGGTGACCGGCAGGGGCCTGGGGCAGGTGATGGGCGGCGTGGCCGGTCTGGGCACCCGGTTTGGGACCGGGGCCCCCTAGCGCACCTTTTTTTTTTTTTTTTTTTTTT